AAGTTAAAAATTATTAAATGCTAATTCCTTTAGTTTGCCATAATTTAAAATTAAAACAACCATTTGAACTCAAAAGTCAAGTGACCAACGAATCTCATTTACGGTAGATAATTTCTTACTATTATGTATTTAAATTTGAAACTTATATTTTTGTTGGAATCTTTGAAAAAATGTATAAAGTTCCTACAAATTTGTTTCAAATGTTTATTACATATTATTTTTAATTGATTAAAAATTAAAATAAGAAAAAATCTTTTTACGCCTTTTTACGCATATGCCTTGCTGAAGCTCGCCTAGCCCTGGGCTTGGCCTCCACGCATCGCCACGCATTACGCATTTTAGAACACTGGACAAGATACACCACATTAGAGCTCAAAGAAGAGGTCTAGCACTAGAATGAATGCAATTAACACACGAATATTGAAGAATCAAGGTTCAGTTTCAAGATTCAAGATGAGAAAGTGGACTTCTCCTATTTCTTTCATTGTTTTTAATCCCAAGTGATGTCAATTAAATTCATTTTATGTAATTTACATAGAGATATGCTAGGCTAATTCTCCTCATGTATTGGATGAAGATAAAATCTTTTTCTTATTTATTTTATTTCAAGACAAGTAGTTTAGTTAAATTCTTATTATTCTCGATTGATCTTGCATGCTTAATTTCGTCATTTGATTGTATGATCGCCAATTAAATATATGGTTGTTGTTGTTGTTTTGCTAAGAGACTCACAACAAGTTTAGAACACTGCAGGATCAACACACGAGCAATAAATGTTAGGAATAACATATATCACAGATGCAATCACTTAGATAATTGAGTAATTGAATGCATCTGTTCATATGAATTCGAACTAGGAATAAAATCGGATCGAGTCTAGAATAGACTTAATTTATCTTGGAGAGGAAAGTTAAATATTATAGGACTATCAATTGTCAATAATGCATGAACAAAACTAAATTATATAATCGAGAATCGAAGTAGATAACAATTGGTGGATTCTTAGTCTAATACACCCATTCCACCTACATACAAACCAACGCTTTACATATTTCATAGAATAACTCAGAATAATTACAAAACACTACTCTCTTTTGTCACATAATTTGAATCTGAACAGACACTAATACACTTTGATTGAAGTTTATTCCTAATGGGACGATACACATTACTCATCACATATTACTTGTCAATGATCATGTAC